GGGAAAGAAGCCTCAATTCAGACAATTCTGCCTTTCCTCAGTTCCCTGAATGAATGAGTGAATGAATGAATTAAATAAATGAAGCCATGGACTGGATTGGGACAACCAGGGGAACTATTTTTTATTTCGGAAAGTTAAGTAAAACAAGAAAATAAAATTAATTTTGTTCTGTGGTCTTTTTTTTCAGTTCTCTAATGGTATTGTCCCTGGCAGGAGGTTTGGGGGTCAGCTTGCCAGCCCAGGGCTGCTCTGACCCAGTTCAATGTGCTGCGGAGGGGCTGGCTGGGGCACGAGGGTGCTTCTGTGTGCAGCTAGCTGTCATGGCTGGCCGAGTCATAAGGGTGCTTCAGAGCAGGGGCTGCCTGCCAGCTGGCAAAGTAAATAACTCTGCCGTAGGATAGTACTTGTATCTGGCAGTACTAACCTACAGTGGAGTTATTAGTTTACTCAGGCCTAATAGCTCTGCATGCATAGACTGGTGACGCTTTACCGTGGAGTTAATTAGGTAACTCTGCAGCAAGCATCTCATGTAGATGCGTCCCCTGTGTCACAAGTATTTGGGGACTTATTTACTACATCTTTAAAACAAATTGATTGTAGCACTGAATAACCAATGACACATCTCTTCCATCACAAACGTGGAAGCTCAGGAAAAAAAGCTGTATCAGTGTTCTTGGCTGCAATTTATACCCTCACCATTCAGGCATGATGAATATGCTTGGTGTATTGGCTGCCTATATTAAGGCTCATCCTTTGGGATGTCATGTTGCATACTCACAATTTAACTAGATCTTTATTCAAGTGCCAGGTGATTAGGGCTCATGCTGGCAGTGTATATACAACTGTAAACATCATTGCTTTGGTAGGAAATAGCCCAGCTGTAGTGCTGGCTGGGAGGCAAAAAATCGATTATGCAATAAATAAAATGAGATAAAAATCAGCAGAAGTTTTAGAAATGTTTTTGTTTGTTTTATTACAGAACATATAATAGATCTTTCAAATAATAGATATTCAAAATTGTTTATGAAAAACATAAGAATTGGAGAGACTACTCCAGAATAAGCAGTAGTATCCCAATGGCTAGAGCATTCAGTCAGACCATGGTAAATCCAGGTTCTAGTTCCTGCTTTGGCTTCAGTTTGTCCTTCAGGTCACAGTTGAGTGCTTTAACTCAGGGGTAAGCAATTATTTGGACAGGAGAGCCACTTAACAAGTTTTGGTGAGCTGTTGCACACCACGCATGTGCACGCACACACTTGCTCACACACATGCACTCTCTCTCTCTCACACACATGCTCTCACACTCATTTTTACTCTCACCCTCACACACATATATGAACTCCCCTTAGCCAGGCCAAGGCTGGCACCAGAGCAGCGGCAGGAGCATGAGCCCACCCTGGGCTGTAGTTTCTTATCTCTGCTTCTCCCCGCCTTCCCCACACCCCCACCATTCCCAGTTTGGCTGACACCTGCAGACAAGAATGGGGTTGAGAGCCATGCTGCGCCGAGGGTGGGGTCATGGCATTCACAGCCCCACAGAGCTGGGCTGCAAGAGGGGAAAAATGCTCCCGCCTCTTGGCCTCCCTCCCACCCGCTGTGCAGACCCCAACAGGGGAGGCCAGGGTGGGAGGGTCAGTTCCTCACCTTGCCCACTGTCCCTGCTACACGGTGCCTGGTGGGCAGGTGAGGCTCCAGCCTCTGCTACACCATGGGGAAGGCTGGGAGGAAGCAGTCCTGCCCACCCACCCATCCAGCACCACAGGGTCAGACTCCATCTCCCAGAATGCCACGTGGTGCCAGGCAGGCAGGCAGGGCTGCTTGCACCCAGTGTCCCCTGCCATGCCAGTAGAGGCTGGAGCCACTGCCTGTCGGCAGCCAATTGCTATCCTGCCCATGGATGGGTGGCAGCTTTCTGTCTTCAGCCTCTGCTGGTGCCACGGGCCAGATAGAATCAATTGGTGGACCAGATACAACCTGCGGGCCATATTTTGCCTACCCCTGCCTTAACTACTAGCCTGTTATGGGGTGGTGTCTTTCTGATCAGAAATTCCATGCTGGACTTAAAAAACCTTCCTGATGAAAGTTTTGTTGAAATTAGTTATGCTTCCTCAAAAAGTTTCTGTTTCAATGATGTATCATTGTCTGCCCCCCAAAAAAGGTTTTGTTGCAAATTTTCTGATCAGCTCTACTCAGCTGTGAAATTACTCTCTTCCTGATCCACATCTTATTACATTCAAATACATAGATTCATGTTTGCCTAGATGATTGATGTTGATTCAGAAAAGAAACATGCTAAATCAGTGGTGCTCAACCTCTGGCATGCAGGCCAAATCTGACCTGTGGGGCTATGTCATCCGGCCCAGAGATGTCCCTACATATCCATAAATTTGGCAGTAGAGGAGTGATGAAACTGTTAATTGCTGCAGTTCTGGAACTGTCTCTGGAAGCTACAGCAGTTAACACTTCCTCTGCTCTACTCCCTGACAACTGAATTTTTGGGCCTGTGGGGAGCCCAGCAGGCCAGATGACACAGCCCTGCATGCTGAATTGCACTAGCTTAGGGGGTTGCTCTACGATCAGATTCAGCGTTAAGGGCTGGGTCAGCATGTGGTGTGGTGTTAGGGAAGTGCATGGGGTCAGTCCACAACCAGGTCTGGTGCGCAGGGCTGAGCCAGCATGCTGGATCACAGCCCAACACCTTGGACTGGCCCCACACTGGGTGGCCACTCATCCAGCCCATGGGACCAGAAGGTTGAGCACCAGTATGCTAAATGACTGAAATGAGAATGATCAAATACTCCCAAAAAGGCAGTCTGCAATATTTGAACTTCATTATTCATTATATTCCTCCAATTAATGTGTTTTCTTTATTGAATAGGAATCTGGTATGGAATTCTGGAAGGCATTGGAATTCTTTCTGTTATCACAAATGCATTTGTTATAGCTGTGACTTCAGACTTCATCCCTCGGCTAGTTTATGCTTACAAATATGGACCTTGTGCAGGCCAAGGAGAAGCTGGACAAAAGTGAGTTTTCTTTAAGAATAGCAACATGCATTAAAATCCCTGTTCCCTTGAAACACAGACAAATATAACATTGCTGTCTCCATGTTTACCAATTCCATTAATCAAAATGTGCTGGGTAGGTACAAATTGCACATCATTAATACAGTTTAATAGGTAACTGAAATTTATAGTCTTAACTTAAGGAAAAAAGTTCCAGATGGGTTATAGAGATTTCAGTGGATTCAGTAACATCCTGTTACCATAATCAATATGTGAAATCTCAATTCTCAGCTGGCATAAATCGGTGAAGCTCCTTTGTAGTCATTAGACTACACTGATTTTCACCAGCTGTGGATCTGACCTTTAATAGTTAGCTTATTCACAAAGCCTCCTTTCTCTTATATAGTCCTTTATGTACATTAATTCAAAAAAATGCAGACAAATAAGAGGAAGCAATTATAATAGAGTGAGTTGTTATTTACTGCACAAAGTAATTGATTCTTTTTAAACACAGCTCTTATATTAGAATGTCTGAAACCAAAATCAGTTTCTTGCTGCTCCACCAGTGCTCACTCTACTGCACTAAAAGAAATGAGCTAAGCAAGCTAAGTGAAACATAATAAGTTAGCCTGGATCCTGCTATCAAGCATATATTTTTTTTGGTAGATTTATTTTCCTTCCCTGGTAAAGAAGTGAGAGGGTTCTTTTTTTGCTGTTGTTGTTGCTGTTTGCTGTATTTGGATATGTAATCAGACTGTTGGGAAATGAGCAGTTGAAGTGAAAGTATGTGATTGGCACTGTTGCTAGCTTGTTATGCTGTCAAGAACTTGATATTTCAGAAGATGCCGAGAGGGGAGAAAAATTCTGTTTCCATAAACAGTTGTAAGGAATCCTTCAGTTGGTAAAGTGTTAGGTCTGATGTCAGTCATTGTTTGAGAGGTGCCTCCCTCTGCTGCCACTGAGAATACTCACCGGGTATTCATGCAATGTCAACTCTTCTGTGTTATAAATTTATTTCATATTAAGGTGGCAGAAAATGCATTTTGAAATTACATTTTATAAGGAAGCAAATATAATGCTATTGTTCTCCAGCTAGTTTGGTTTAGACTTTAGAGGTACTGACTTTACTTAAGGAAACACATCTTAAAATATAATTTTTTTCAACTCTTTAAACAATGTTTTGATAATCTTGCAGACTCTCTGAATAAACCACTTGTAAACCACACAAACTATTTTTTCCTAAAAGCCTTTATTTGTCAACATCAAAGACACTGATACTAAATTAGTGCCCACACAAAAGTAGAGACCATTCTAAAAGTCTACATGCATACCCAGTTTCTGCAACTCAGAGGTCTGGAATATCTAGCGCAAAGTCTCTTAGGGTTTGGGTTTTTTTATTCTTTCAAGAAAAATAATAAATTCAGCCCATATGATGCGTATTGATGCTAAAAAAAATAGTATACTTAATTCTCTGGACACAGGTTGTGAGCCAAAGCTAAGTTGTTAATAATCTTCAAACCCAAATTCCCACTGAATTTAAGCTTATAGTTAAAATAAATGCCAGTCTTATTGTTCATAAAGAAAACCATCCAAATGAGAATTAGTGCAGTTCAGTCTTCCTGCATATGTGCCCAAACAACCTGAAATAATTATGTGGAGATGTGTGAACCTGGCTGGCTTGGTAACTCTGAGCAGTAATGATGGCAATACATAGCACAGCCTATGATATAATGCTGGAAATGTCCTGAAATGAGTTTTCAAGAATCAAATCAGGTTTCCTAGGGCTGCTGGCTACAGCAAACCAAAATCAATAGGATTTTGTGTACTATATTTCAACAGAACATAGACTGGATGGGTGTCCTTGCCCCTGAAAACAGTAACAGTTGTAACAGGATTTTGTATTTCATGTTTTATTTCACGTTTTATCCCTATCTGTAATGGAAAGCAAATTTAAACATGATTCCTGTTTAGCACAGTTCTAGTGTAACAAAAGCAAAAGTAAGCTGGTTTTCCACATTTGTTTGTTTTGTCCATGGCGTTTTATGGATGATCTTTGCTTTGCTTTTAGAAGTGAAGCTGGTTTGGATCAGATGTGTTGCATGTATCTAGACACTTTGGGAAGGTGGCAGTTATGATGGAGATGCGTCTGAGAAAATGTTGATATCTCTGGTTCTTTCTCACCTGACTGGTTGTAGAAGTAAAACCTCTTCAGCCTCATAGTGTTCAATAGTATACAAGTTTAACTGGACTTTTCCACATGTGCTGAGTGCAAAGTAGAGCAATCACAATACTATTACTATACTATACTATAACAGGTTTATCCTGTTATACTACCACTAGAGTTGAACTTGCCAGCTCTCCCAGAGTTCCTTTGTTACACATTACTGTTGACCCTGCAATTATAAGTTTGTGTTTCAGAGCCATAAAGGAGCACACAACTTTGCACTCAAGGTCAGAGCTCCATCTAGCCTGATACCTCCTATCTTACAATGGCCAGAACCAGTTAACATTTTTGGAATAATTTGCCCAAAGGGCAGGATTATTCCTGATCACCATCATTTTTAGTGTAGTTCAGGAAGCAGAGCTGTGTGTTTCCTAGTAAAAAAAACCCAAATCTTTCTAGTATAGCTATACATGTTCTCCCCCAAAAGAAGTGTCTAAACCTTGCTTAGATCTTAACAAGTTTTTAGCTTTAGTGATATCTGGTAGCAGTGAGTTCTGCAAGTTAATTCTGGGCTGTATGAAAATTTATTTCCTTTATGAGCTTCAAATATATGCATTACTTTTTGTCTTCATTAGTTCTTGTATTATGAAACTGTAAATAGGAGCCCTTATCTTCTGTCCCATTCATTATTTTGTGAATCTCTATTAAGTTAGCTTTCAGTTATCTCCTTTCTAAGCTAACCACACTCTGTCTTTTCAACCTGGCCTAGTACCAAAGTCTGATAATGCTTCTAATAATTTTGTTGCCTATCTCTGAAACCATTTTAATTTTCATTATATGTTTTGAGATAGGAGTTCAAATCCTACTTCAATTTTAGATGGGTAAGTAGCATTTACACAGCTCACTTGAGCAATGTAATTACAGTCAGTCTGCAGACTTAGAAAGACAACTGGTTCCTGAAAACTGCACCTAAAGTTAAAACATTGTACCTCAGAACTGATTTTCCCATAGGAAACAATGTTATAAATGAGAGAATTGGTTCCTGAACCAAGGCACGATACCCTATTTTCACCAAAAATAACCCAGAATTTAGTACTCAATCAATTATAAATGAGTAATACAGCTACATTAATATATTTATATTATAAATAGCAATCATATTTGGAAGGACTTCTTTGAGGTGACTTTGCTGGACATTTTGAAGGGTTTTTGGCTGGAGTCTTCACAGGAGTCCTGACTGCAGGTTTTTCTAGAGTTTTGTCTGCTTTCTTAAAGAAAGTGTCCAAGGAAGTTTGGACAGATGTTCTCCAGGGAGGTAGGCAACACAGAGAACTTGTTTGCTGGCATGGCATGCCGTGGGATCAAGCATTGTAAAGTTGAAACAGGGTGTCAGCTTATAAAGGGTGTAGGTGTGAAGCATTGTAACTTGAAACATTGTAAGTTGAGGACTGCCTGTAGCATTTTGTGTATGTAAATTTTAGATTCTTCTCCTCTTGCAAAAAGAGATATACAGTAATATCTGTGTAATTTGCACAAAATGGAAGAAAGGGACACACTCCCATATAGGTGTCTGGTGCATCTTGAGTGCCCCCCCTGACACCAGTCAGCAATCAGTGGAAGGGGGGGCCCCCCAGTGACCAATTTCACTCACCATGAAAGCAGCCATAGCCATGGCCACTTCCAGTCATTTCTGCGGCCAATCTCACTCACCATGAAAGTCCTGTGATCACTTTCAGAAGTGGCACAGCCACTTTTGCTGATGGTCCTGCTCCCTGGCCAGCGCTCAGAGGGTGGGCATTGGTGCTCCCGCCTACCCCCCTGCCCTCCAGCTAAACAGGGAGCGCGGCCTGGTAGGGGGTGCACCAGCACTCTCAGGGGGTGCACATGCACCCCCATGAACCCCCTACACATCTCCCCTGCACTCCCACTTTTAGCCCGCTAACCTAGTTATTAGGGCACTAGGGAGATTCAGGCTCTAGGTTTGCCTTATCCACAGGGGGTTTGAATCTGCATCCCCTACTTCCCAAACAAGTGTCCTTATCCCCAGGCCATGGGCTAGACATTACCAAGAGTACCCTTCCTGTTGAAGCTACCCCAGTAAGCAGCCACAAGGAGAAACTATGAAGCCAGAAGGGGAGCAGACCACAGGAGGGGAAAGAGCTCTGAGATGAGCACTGCTCTGGAAAGGAGAGGCAGGGGCTTGGTTTCTGCTTCTGCTCCCAATGTTTTTTCACCGTTTTGTATTTAATAGTCATTGGATAATACAGCTAGACAGGTGTGGGATAGTTTCTGCCTCATGGTTGGCAAGCTGTTTTCCCCCAGTTGTGGTTTTTCAGCACTTACATTTGGGGTTGTTTTTTTAATTTCGTGTCTTGGGCCCAATCAACCAAATCACTTCCAAATTCTGTCGGCTGAGTAGAGCTCAATCATTCAAGTATATGTGGTGCTACTACCAGCAACTATCCTACCTCCCAGATGCTTCAGCCTAGACTTCAGATGCTCCCAAATCCATGGCAGGCACCCAATGTACAAGTCCCAAGCCCAGAGGCCTTGGATTTCAGATGCCCCTAGTCTTGCTTGCCCCTAGCCAAAAGACCAAAGAAGCAAGCTAGAGGGAAAGCCTGTGAACAATCCCCCATCAACATAAATTGTGTAGCCGATAACCTCCCATTGAGAGGCCCTGTAGTAGACCCTTGCAGGGGGGCCCTGTAGTAAACCCTTGCAGGGGGGCCTGCCCACAGTGCAATGGACAGGTCTCCACCCTCTAACTATACCTAGTCATTCAAGGCCGAAAAGAAGGGAATCCTCTCTGCCAGGTCAGTAAAACCACCTGAGCCAAAGCCATCATGGGCCATCCTCATGGTATTTGGACATGTACATGGATGGCTACCAGGTAACATAGAATCACTACAGAACATAAGTAGCTGGAGCACATCTTTCTGACCATGTTCAGAAGGACAGGATGAGTTGTGCTAGAGCTAAATATGTGTAAATGCCCTAAAATGCCAACTTCTGGATAAAGATAGCATCTAAGTGCTACTTGCCCATCTAAAGGTGCTTGAATTTGAGTCAGGGTCACCATTTTTGCAGAATCACATCTGATGTATTAGTTGAGGGTGTGGGGGAGGAGAGAAATTACATTGGCCAGCAGGTATGTGTTAGGTTACTAAATATAAAGAAATCTAAATTGAATAAAGGGGGACTCTAAAGTCACTGCAATGTAAATACAGTCCAGGGGGGAAGAGGAGTTGTGTTTTGTGAGAATGACCTTTGTACTAGGTCCCTCTGTCTTTTGAGTCAGTTGCATTTTAGGTGTGCTAATGGAGAGAGGAGTTGGTGTGAATTTCTTTTTAATTTTTTTTCTAAAGGTATGAAATGAAGTAAATTTGGGATGATGGGGAAAGAAATGATCCCAACATCCTTTTAAATATTATGTCACTGTTAAAGTGTAAAGTCAGAAAACCCAGACAAAAATGTTCTCCTGGGTGGGATTTGTTGTTAGAAAGGACTCAGCATTCTGAATGCAGTATTTCTTCCCTTTCAGGTGTATGGTTGGCTATGTTAATGCCAGTTTATCAGTATTTCTGGTGTCTGACTTTGAAAACCGTTCAGAACCAGCATCAAACGGAAGTGAATTCTCCGGCTCACCATTGAAATATTGCAGGTAAGGCTCTCCTCAAAAAACCCTTTTCTTTTAAGAAATCAGCAGATAGAAGCAATGTGATTCATTCTGGGCTTGGACTATGTTTCTGAATTTAAAAAAATGAAATGAAAAATGTATTTTTGAAAGTTCCCATGAAAGGAATGAAAGCAGCCATGACTTCAGTTGTACTGTACATGTAGGAAGAAGGCTTAATCTTTGGGGTATGGAAATTGGCCAGGCTTCTCAAATATACTCTACATCTGCATATAAATTACTTTTTTTAAAACAATACAACAAATGGTAACTATTTTTTATAATAATTGCTTATCCTTTAATTTGTCTTGATAGGTTTGGGAGGAGATTTCATACAAGCCTAGGGTCTAACTCCAACTGTAATGCTATCTAGCTCACTCTAAATGAAGGATTAAATTGCAGATGTGTATGGGCCCTCTAAATCCCCTTAAGCCTTATTGTGCTGGCTTAAGTGGTGCATAAACCTTATGCAGGCTTTGTGAACAGGAGTGAATTTCACTTGAACTTGCAATAAGTCACATCCATACCCCATCGGTCCTAGAGATGTCCCTTGGCATCCCAGGCTGCTTTGTGGGTCCCCACTAACCCCTCCTTACAGGATCATGCTAGCCTCTGTTGCACTTATCTGCTCCAGCTGAGTGGGCTCTCACAGAGCTAGCTACAGGCTGGAGTCAGGGCTCGGGGGCAGCACCAGCTGCCAGCAGCAGCTGGGTGGTGTAGGGGGGAGCTGTCCTTGGCCGGACACAGTCCCAGCCTGAGCTAGCACAAATAGGGAGGGCCCACACTCTGAGGGTTTCTCCCAACCACTGCCCAGACTGGCTTCCCAGAGCTTGTCCTCCCCCCAAACTCTGCCCCCCTGCAAGCAGCTGGCTGCCAGCGGTGGGGGGAAGGGAGGGGAGGGAGCAGAAGCCCCAGCCCTGGCCTCAGCCCCAGCCTCACCACCTCCAAACTCAAGCCAGCACAGCTGGAAGGGGGTGCATGGTTGGGGCTCCCCTCCTCTGCACACTGCCCAGCCTGGCTGACCAGTGTGGCTTCTCTCCCCTGCCCTGCCCGCCCCCCCAGCCAGGTGTCAACAGAAGTGGGGGGGAAAGGGGGAACAAAGGACCCCATTGTGTGGACCCGGCCCCCCAAACCCAATCCAGCACAGCTGGGGAATCTGCATGGAGGGGGCCTCCATTCCCTCTGCCCCCCACTGCCACTGCCAGCCAGCCACTTGCAGGGGGAAGGGAATGGACCTGGGGAAAGGAGTCACTCTGGCCAGCCAGACCAGCCAAGCCCTTCGTTATCATATGTGTGGGTTAATTCAAAATGCTGCTGAAAGATCATTGGGTATAGCTATGTGGTTTACAGAGTATGTTTACTTATTGAATATATACATTTCTGTTTGTGGAATTCGGAGAGTGACAGACTTCCTTCTAACGAATTCACAAGACACTTAACAAACCTGAATTTTGCTGAAACACTTGGTAATTTTAACTTCAGTTTACAGAAAGATATTGAAAGGGATGCAAATTAGTTTTTAATAATTTCTAAAGAGACTACAGGACTCCATATCAATGTATGATTTGTGTGATGTGAGAGCAAGCTTTTAAGCTTCCAGCAAGGTAGTTTTGGTGGACAAAATCTGTTAATAATTTACCATTACTATTACTGAGATGATTTTTTTCTGCTGCAGGAGAGATACCATGCTGATTGTATGGAAGTTTTTTCTCCATACGAGAAACTTGATGTACTTTTCTACCTAGATTTCCTAGCCAGGTGCTTCTGTTGCAGTCCTTTAAAATTCTGCTTGTAAACAGTTTTCATCTGAAGAATCAATGTTTTGTCTGCATATGGGAATTAGCTGGCAGCAAAAACAATTCATACTGATGTTACTGGAATATAAGAATTCAGTGCTGACTAAAATCCCTAGCCTGCTTATTTTGTTTGTGTCAAGTGTCCTCTTGAATCTGAAAAGTCTATCTATCAGATGAAAATGCAGATTGTCCATCATAGAGATATAATGCACCTTTCAGTTTATTTCTTCTGTGCAAGTAGCTTTTTTCAGTTCTTTACACTTGTTTAGAGATTACGTGTAAGAGTGTTATTTAATGTGACATTTCCTGATATTGTTTTATAACTAGTTTTCAATCCTGCACAGGAAACAGATTAGGCAGAAGCCAAATTTCTCTTCACTTTCAGATTAAGTTTGTGTCAAATTGCTTTGGAATTACCATTTCACTTATGAAATCAGACTCCAGAAAGAGTGAGTTTTTTCATAGATGAGTGTATCTAATATATGATAGGCTTCGAATGGGTTTATAGTTATCTTAGGTCTACCTATTCTACCATAAAACTCTGTTAATTTTTTTGTTGAGTGTTTATGTTTCCAAAAGATGTTACTTAAAACAACAGAGCTGATTCCCTTACATGGATTTGCGCTGGATGGGTAACATCCTTAAGTGAGAATCTGGTCCTGTTGGCAGTCAATAGCAAGACTTGTGTTGATTATTTTTTCAATTGAGTTATACGTGATTTACACTGGGAAGTGAAGTAGAGAACTGGGCCAATGTTTTTTATAATTTAGAGCACCTGACATTGAGATCGTTCTAGAAAAAAGAATAGCGAGCAAAATTATTTTTTCATAATCCAGATTAGTGTTTTATCAGATCACTAAAATATGATGTTCTCTTTGTTTTTCAGGTACAGAGACTATCGAGACCCTCCTCATGCCCCAGTGCCCTATGGCTACACACTGCAATTCTGGCATGTTTTAGCAGCACGATTGGCTTTTATTATAGTTTTTGAGGTCAGTTATCATTCCGGGGCAAGTGTACGTGTTAAGAAATTATCTCTATTTGAGGCTTTTTCACTACCCTGATCCTGGATAGCAATCCTTGAGCTTTAGCTGATAGGTTCAGGTGTTTCTGTCTTGCTTTGAATTTCCCAGTCTTGTATTTCTAAATAGCTACATATACTGAAAGGTTACCTAATGTGCTTTACTGGTGACCTGCAATGGCAGAGTGAAGATGGGTTGAAAATAGGCTTGGAGCTTCTTTTGTTCCTTTAATGATGTGCAAAGAGTGTGGCATGGATCTGATCTCATCTGATCTTGGAAACTAATCATCCCTATATTTCACTGGTGCTTAAGCAAGAGACCACTGTGAAATCCCAGTTGTCACAGAAAACAAGTCAGTGATTTGTAGGTGAACACTTGGTGAATTCTAGATCATGGAACTAAGTGAATGCAAGATTTCACTTAGCCCTATCATAACAGATGGATGGAATAATAGGAAGGAATACAGTGATAAGAAGGCCCCCCCCTTGTTTTTTTTAATATTTAAACTGCAAGACTTTGTGATGACAGTGGAATAAGCATAGTATAACATCATAAGAGTTGAGAAGGTGAAATCTGAGCAACTTAAAAAAGAAAACAGTTTTATTAAAATGTTTAAAACTCTTGGCTTTTGCTATTTTTAAAATTATAGTTAAAACCTATTTTACTCCATAAATGTATTAACCATTTGGGATAAAGGAAGTTTTCATTACAGATTCAGTGTCTTTGCCACTACAATTAAAGGGTACAGACTCAGAATGCTTTCTGCAAAGCGCTCTCAGTTACAGTGGGGAGCTCCACTTCTGTCTGCCCCCAAAGTGTAGTGTTCTGACAGTTATCCTAGAGAAGACCCAGAGATCTGTTGGCCAGACCAGAGAAGAGCAAATTTGATGTATTTGATATTTCAATGATGCAGGAGCAATATAACGAAGCAATAGTTATCTAAAACCTGGAATCTGAGCATTCAAAATCCCTAAAAATTGGGTTACGTGGTCCTGGGCAAAAGACAATGCAAGCCCAAGTTTAAAATATCTTTGATTAGCCCTTATAAACACTGCCATTGTACTATAGCAAAGCAGTTCAAAAGTACCATATCTCTCTCAGAAAGTGATATATAATTATTATAGATTTTTGATACATTCCTTATCAAGTGACTCAAATTGCCAGTTTATGTATTTACTGCATTGACATTTTATTTTGGATTGGATTTTTGCAACATCTCTCTGGATTACAGAATTAAACTATTTGAATTGGAATGAAGCTTATTTTCATTTTATATAATGGGAGACAGTCTCCCCCCAATTTATTTCTTAACTGAAACTGTATTATCTTGGCAGGAACCATTGGCATAATAGATTTGGCCAGTCCTCTCCATTTTCTGTCCAGGGAATTATGACAGGTTGTACACTCAAAACTCTGGCTTTGTTAAGAGGGCACAATGTAGTGCCAGGCTCTCTGTGGTTGAGCTAGCTGAGCTCTTGGAAGAGGTCTAACTACATTAGTGTGGCACTTCACCTGGGCAAATTAGCCCTGCACCCAACTTAGTTTATTCTGCACACCACTGCACAGTATCATGCAGGCATACCCTGCACAATACAATCTACTTCTGAGCAGGGTATGCCTGCAATCTTTTTTGGATCCAGTGATATAGTAAATGTGGTTAGTCAGCCTGGTAGAAGCAGGTGCACAAACATGGTTGTGAAGTCTGAGAAGTGCCATGTGGGCACAAACTAAATCTTGTTCCTTGTGTAACCAGTTTGAGGTGATCATATTTCAAAGTCATGATTAAGAGGTTGTTGTATGGATGGAACCTATGGGGAAAATTACCATATGGACCTGAGAAAGTACAGGGAGCAAAAAGTAAGGAAGAAAGAAAAAATTACAGCCAGCCAGGATCCTCATATTATTAACTGGTTTGGAGACAACCTGCTTGAGGCATGAACATGTCCTTAAGCCTTCTCTTTAGAAAGCATATAATAAACTTAGGGTGCTCTCAGGAAAAATAACAATTTCAGTAGAAGATTGTGTTAAGAGATAAGTGAATAACCGTAGCTTTGTCACTGAGTTAATAATTACTATAACTGATACTTCACTCTGAACCTAGAATCTGTGGGCGCATCTACACATTCATTAATGCACCATAGTTACTACGCATTACTTTTAGTACCTGGTTAACTAACTGCTAAATCAGTACATAGTAACTTGCGCTACTGTGTAGTAGCACTGGCACGTGGTTTTTTTAGTGATGCTTACTGAGCAGTAGCCTAATACTACTGTGCAGTAGACATTACTGTACAGTTAGCATCTCATGTAGACACGTCCAGTGTTGAGCTATATGGGACATAACTACTTTGTGAATGGCCCTGGCTTAAACACTGAAAACAGTACTTTCTACTATCTGTATCTAAAAGTCTATTAATCACACAGCTAACTAATACAGTAAATCATCTGCTTTGGCTAAAGGAATCATTTTTCTAGGTGTAATAAAGCACACTATAGTGTTAT